AATAATAGAAAATATCATCAGCTTAGAGATTCAATGTAGAATTTTTGTCCTGTTGTTAATGACAAATCATTTTCTTTGAGCTTTCAGATGAGCTTTGGGCTTCTAGTGTGTACAGAAAGAGGATGGTATCAAGTAAAATAGTGTATAAATAGCAATGGATACATAAAATACTTAATCAAGATATAGCGGGGCAGTATCTGTCAGGAAAATTTGCATGAACATAGTGTTTAGCTGCTATTATTTGAAGATGTCACCTTGAGACAGAACAAAATAGGGCTAGAGATTGTATTTATATGTATGTCTATAAACAAACTGACAGCCTCACTTACTTTATTGAGACTCTGTGCCCTGTGAACATTGAGAGCTGTCAGCCAGGAATTACTTCATTTTGCCCACTTATTTGTATAATACAAAGACTGTAACATTATAATATTAATTCAGTCTTAAAACTGCAAAATTAAAACCGATTTAATAACTCAGCCATGTTTACAATATTTCTATTCTCATTTAATGTATATGGCATAGCTGTTAACAAAAACTAGTTCAGTAGAGCAAGTCTTTTAAGTATTTTAGATAAAGTAATTTAAAAAAGATATTTAAAAACCTTACTTTTTGCATGCTTGAAGGTGCAATCTTTAGGATGTATTCTTAGGACTTTTGTGTGAGGAATGGCCAAATGTTAGGTCTCTAAATCCATATTTAAAACTGCTAGCATCTCATTCCTCATAGCACTGTTTACTGCTATATACTCCAGTGACTGCATGACAAGGTGTGAACTCAGAAAGTTGTTACTTGGCCAATGAACCACGTGAACTTGTGAATTCTGTTCTGAAGTTCTCTCTCTTTGTGGAGTTCAGAAACTGCCATGTAGCCATTTTGTAATATGGCTGACAAAACACGGCAAATTGCACTTGCTGTCTCTGAGTGTCTTAAGAAGAAATATCTTGACAATCAATATAACGTTAGATGAGCAGTTATGCTATCTCCAAATGTTTGCGCTTTTTTTCTCAGAGCTAGCATGTGTGTTATTGTCTGATACTCCTGTTTTTTTCTGTTGTTCTGTTGTGTTGTTTTCTTATACAGTTTCTTTTTAACTCTTGTTTTTATAATCTCATCAATGACTAGAAAAGAAAAATAAGGAAGAAAAATGTCTCTCTGTTGACATAGCTTCTTAAGCTCCCTGGTATATAAATCAAATCTATATCACTTATTCTAAATGTTGAATTTTTGCAGCAGATTAGGAATACATTAGATTGCTTCTTGAACTTCTTGTTGATAATCTGTTTTATTACATGAGTGATTTTGCTGGTACTAAAACTTAATAGCATATTGCTAGATCAGAGTCTGTCTCTATAATGCAAGTCTGATAATTCTGCACCTCTGTAAAGCTCTGTTTAGATAAAGGAACAGCAGAAATGGGAACTCTCCTGTTTTGCTTTCTGTGGTCTCTGCCATGACTGAGCATGCTGTTGGAACTTACTGGCAAGCTTGCAACGCATTCTGTGTAAATGTGGCAATATTCCCACTGATTGCCCAGTGTCATCCTGTGAAAGCTTAGGACACGTTGCAGAAATGTTAATTGTCATGGAAAATGTGGAGGGCTGAAATCCAGAGCATGCTTAAGGAGCATGCAGCAGGGCCAGATCTGTGCCCTTCCAAAGCCTTGTTTCCTTGGACAGCTCCATATATCTCTCGTGATAGACATGGATTACTGATGCGCTACGTAGAGTAGCAGACTTGTAACCTTAGGAAATCCCTTCTTTCCCCATGATTCAGGGGGGAAATATGCTCTGTGGCAGGTCAGTTTTTGTCTTGGGCAAACGAGAGACCTTCCTTTGCAGTGAGAATCCACTTAGTGAATATTTCCAACTGGTAAAACCATGGCTGTTTCTTCTCAGTTTATTTCTTTGTATAGCAAGCTTTCATCCTCTTGAAATGTTTTTAGGCTCAGATAGAAGGAAATACGCAGTCACTTTCTGGCATTTTGATTAAAATATTTGGGGAATGGAGGGCTTTTCAGTTCCTGTCTGTCTTTATTAAATTCCCAACTAGCTGCGGCACAAGGTCTGTTAAGGTCATGGTTGTTCCTAAAGATAGCATGATAGGGCTTATTTATTATCACCCTACTAATGGGTATCCAGATCAGGAATAATGTGAACAGCCTTTCTTATCCCATTTTTCATATATTCAGGAAATACAACAGCTGAGAGAGGAGACATAAGTAACAGTTGTTATGAAAAATTTATAAGCACTTCAGTCAGCAACTAGAATTCACTTCCATGAAGAAGGCACTGCAGTGTATTTCATATATGTTTTCCTTTATCTTCAAAAGTCGTATGTTTAGTAAAGAGCATTCAGTTATAAACATAGTTGCACTGAAGTATTGCTCATGATTCATAGAGGCAGAAATTCCATTTTGATGAGATTTTTCCCAAAATGGTATCTTCAACAAGGATCTGAGATCCATGTAGGTGGCAAGCAGTGCATGCAAAGTAGGCTTTTAAACCAATGGCAAGAGAGGCACTTACATCCACTTAGAAAATTGTCCTAAAAATCTTTATTTAGAACAAATGATGCTATAGGTCTCAATACTGTGTGAGGTGGCTCAGTGTAGTCCTTGGGCTGCTAGTTTGCAGTGATCCAAACAATGATATTTTATTCTATAAGGAATATAGAAGAATTGTTTCTCCAGCAGAGAAGAGGGGAAGAGTTTGGAGAAAGCATATACTGAAATCTTACACCCTTTACCTCAAGTTAGGTTGATCTGTCTCATCTTCCTCTCTTTTCCTCCTCCACAGCTGTCAGATATAGAGAAAAGCATCTTTCAGTGTTATTTCCAAAAGTATAATTGCATTATGGAAATTAGGTTAAGAAGACTTGCAGATTTTTGGGAAAGCTGGAGTAATCTATGAGGGGAGTATTAGTCTGACTGTAAAATGTAGCTGTGATAAACTTCTAAGAAAAAGCAGAAGATAACATAGGTGCTATCTAGATTAACAAACTGTGTAGGACTTGCTGTAAAAATCTGGTAGTTTCTGGAAAATTACTTGGGACAGACATTTTGCAACAAATATTTTGTTGCATCTGTGTGTTAGGCTTTCAGTATGTAGTTATGAAATGGATGTTGGATATGTTATATGCTGTGTTTTTTAAGAAATACATTTGTATTAGAGTTGTAGTTAAGATCATGAGTGCACTCTTGAAGTGAACCTCTTGGACACCCCTTCTTACCACATGTCAGTTCACCTTGTGGAGTCTCTTGGACTTCACATCTTTCAAAGAAACGTGCTCTGCAGGAGTGCAGCTGATGTTCTCCAGCTGCTGATGGGTGCTCACTCCTTGGGACAAGACTAAACCTTGCATGAATAACCCCCTCCCAAAATGCCTAAACTGTGGATACTGGACCCTCTGCACCAACCATTTCATTCTGTGAAACTTCTCCTACTGGGCTGCACTGCTTGCTTATGCAGACATAGCAGTTTTGTGTGGAGCTAGTATTGATCTCCCAGGTTAGTGTATGCAGACAACACATCCTGCATGAGAATGAAAAGAAAATAGTGGGCAATTAGTAAAATCTTTAGAGATTGCATGTAAATCCCTTGGATGAGGTCAGGTGAACGAAATAGTGAGGCATGCAGAAATAAGAATTTGGATTGGCAAGGAAAGGAAAGGTTCAAAAGGGGAAATTGCCTCTCCTTCATCCTTTGCAAACCTGGCACCAGAAGGGTTTCTGCTAGTGATGGTTGCAATTCCTGAACATGTATGTGTAGACGAACATATGTATGCACACACGCACACCTATGTCAAGATGACACTAAGGCTTTACATGTCAATGGGGTGCAGTTTGCCTTGGTTTTCTTGGATTCGCTTTCTGCAGTGTTAGTGAACTGCCTCGCTGAAAGGTCAGGTATGCACCAGTGCTGGTGTGTGGGAAGCGGCAACTGTGTGTGTCAACAAGAGCAAAAGTGGTGGGATGTTGATAGTAAGATCAGCTCTATTGTTTTCTGAAACGTCATCCTCAGTTGCTTTTGGTGTGCTGTATCTCCAAAAGCTAGGTATGTAAAAATGGATTTGAGGGATTGCCTTGCTGATCTGGTAACTCCCTAGGAGCAGGTATTGTGCCTGTTTGCATCTGTGCCAGGTCAGCCCCATCCTTGCTCCATGGATCAGAATATCGTTACCGAGATTGCGCTGGAGTAACCGAAAGGGAAATTTGCTTATTTACTTGAGGCTTTATTAAAAGTCATTAATTAATAATTAATTATGAAGCAGCATGAGCCAGGAGAGAATCTGTCTTACTCTCAGTCTTTTTCACTCTCTGACAGACGTGTTGTGTTGCGGGTGCAGAGGGAATCATAGAATCATAGAATACCAGGTTGGATAAAATGTAAAAGCATTCTTTGAAGTACCTGGTAAGGACTGTGTCTGATTTGTTTATTCAGGATTGCTGAGTATAAAGTTGGTGTTCATTTTGAGGGGAGAAATATACCATGAGGAAAGTGGTTTACTTCATTAGAAATTGTCATTTTTCCTCTGAAATGTTACTTGGATGGAAAAAAAAATTCAACAGCCCTCAGAGAAACCCATTTAAAAATTATTTCCTTTTTTGTCTTATTCAAATTGCTGTCTTTCAAGCCTGTAAATGTCTGTGTGACCTGATCTAAATGTGGACCCTTATTGTTGGGTCTGCAGGATTAAGAGGAATCAGGACAGGTGCAGGGAGTTGCATGGGGACTTCTGGTTTGTTACAGTGGCTCTTATTCCTTGGGGACAGAAATAACCCTCCTGATCATTTTATATGTATGTGTAAATCATAGCTGCCAGTACTTTGCATTGTTTGTATACACAAATACATAAAATGCAAAATATCGATAGCCATGATTTAAAACATTTTTGGCAGATTTCTGTTTCATTGAATTTGTGGCTGTAGTGAGTGTGTGTGCATGCGTGTGCAAGAATATTAGGTGCATATAGAATATATTTTATTTATATTTCTATAGTTAAAACAGAACCAATGAGCAGCAGTGAGATTGCTACTACTACTACCACAGACGGGTCTTTAGACAATTTCTCAGGATCAGGTAAGGAATAAACAAAGGTTCTAAGCTCAGCATTTTTTCATTTACTCTTTTCTTATCCCATGTGGTCTAAACCTGTGCACAGCTGTTAAAAAGCCTTGTGCACTTTGCAGCTTATGCCTATTTCTGTTCATCTTACTCAGACAGTGTAAGTCAATAGGAGTTTTCCCCGAGTAAGGAGCATTACAGCATCGGGCTTATTAATGTCCATTGGTGTCTTCGGTGGGAGTCTCACTAGGGAGTATTCTGGCCCAGAGTAATTACTCTTTTGTTTTCTGTGAGGAACCATACCTGCCTCTGTGATTAGTGTTGTAATTGAGGGGTAGGTCTTCCTCATTTATTGTAATTTATTATTATCAAGGTATTCATTCTTTTGTCAGGCTTTTTTTCTTCCTGGAAGCCAAATACATCTTAGCTTCTAACATACAGGAGACAAACGCTGTGAGAAAATCCTAAGATGTTTGCACAGTTTTGCATACCTGTGGATTAACTGTGGTATTTCTAGCACATCATTTTTATGGTGCAAATCAAATAAAAAAGGATCTAATACTATGTGATGGGATTATATTTCCAGAGTAGCAAAATTTGACATCTCGCAACCGGTCAGGCTCCAAGTAGCCAACCCTTTTCTGGTCTTGTCACAGCCTCCATTTTCTGCACATGCTGTTGAGTATGAAAATATCAAACTTAAAAGCCAAAAATAGATTTCTAGAGTATTTTAAATCTCTGAAAGAAGAAAAGGTAGCGTGTTTAATAGTAGCTACATACATCTGTGGTCGGACCGTAACATTTGGCATATCTGCAGCCTCACAGGCCACAGAAAGAAAAACTATCAGGTGTGGAAGGCATGGAAAGAGATTCCCTGCTTCCCTCCACGCTTCACGAGCACTCCTGGAGTGTAAAGATGATGGATTTTCCCTGTAGTTGGCCAGGAAAGGGGTAGCTGGCGAAGGGTAATTATCCGTGCCTTGTTTATTTCCAAGTACTTAGCAATAGGGCCTGTTGTTTCTCTGGCTGTCTGATTTTACAGTAGTCTCATAACCTGCCACTGACCCCTTCCTGGCAAAGGCTTCAAAACCCACCTTGGGACCTAGAGAAGAAATGGCACCCAAACGGTAACCAGAGAGGGAAAGGCTCCCGAAAATAACGCCTGGAGCAGAGCATGCCGGCACATCCGCCACGCTCTCAGCAGCACCCAAAAATACCGAAAGAAATTGGGATGGGTTGGCGTAAAGCTCTGTGTCAGCAGCGGGGGAGAAGCTCACTATTTAGCCTCTGAGGCTTAAGTGTTTCACTAAGAAAATTTGCACATTGGTTGTGGCATCTTTATGCAATACTGAATGTTTTGAAGGTCTGAAGCATTTTAGAAAGCAGATAAGATGGGGAAAAAAAGAAGGAAGTGTAATATGGTAATACATCATCTGCATTATAGAATTATTTAAAAAAAAAGAGGCACGTGCTCTGAAGCTGGCCATATGTTTTCAATCGAGGCACGCATAAAGCTCCTTCATAAAATGTAGGTCTTAAAAATTCTAAAAGTTAATAAAATGTTGCACTTGAGATATCAATAATCCTTTGAAAATATGAAGGGAAACGTTTCCATTAGGAAATAGATTGTTTGCATTGAAAATGTTGTCTGTGTGCGAGCAAAAAATAAACTATTGCTCAGGAGTTGTACAAAGGGGCAATTTAGTATTTGAAATTTGTAATCAAGATTTTAATGTTAAGCATTCTTGTATAGCTCCTGATAAAATATTATTTTCTATCTAAGGTATCAGTGATATTTGAATTTAATTAAAATCTTGTTAATACTCTGAAATTCTATTAGGAAAAATAATATTTATCTTTGGTGTGTGTATTTACACTTCTGTGTGCTTTCTTTTCTCCTTGGTGCAGCAATTGGAAGCAGTGGTTTCAGCCCAAGACAAACACATCAGTTCTCCCCACCACAGATTTACCCTTCCAAGTATGATATCTTTTAAAAATAATAATAGTAGTAGTAATAATAATAATAATTGAAATAGGCAGATTTTAACCTCATTTAAAATAATAATTGGGTCCATCTGTTAAGTCATAATTTAAACCACAGCAGCTTCTAGGCAAAAAAAAAAAAATTTTTAATGCTAAGAATGTATGTGAAAAACATTTGGAAAATTCTTATTTTATTTATTCTTTTATTGGTTTCTTATTGTTGTCTTGTCTTTGCCTTAGAGTTTCTGTTGTCTAGCATAGCCTATGATTATGTGTTAATGAAGTAGCAGGATTATAATAAGGCTAAAAATAAGTACACGCATGTCTGTCTAATGCAGTGTCTGTCCTATTTTCTGTCATTTGTAATCAATAGCAGACCATACCCACATATTCTTCCTACCCCCTCTTCACAAACGATGGCTGCATATGGGCAGACACAGTTTACAACGGGGATGCAACAAGCTACAGCTTATGCCACCTACCCCCAGCCCAGCCAACCTTATGGAATCCCTTCGTATGGTAAGAAACCCTGTCCATGTTACTTTATTCCAGAGGTAAATATTTTTTAGAACAAGGTTACGTGACCCTTGCGTCACTGCTTAGTGGGACAGCTGTGCTCTCCAGCATTTCTTGTGGGAGACTGGTAATTTTGCCATTGGAGTGGGTGATGCTTAATTTATGTATTAAAGAGCTAAGAAGCTACTGAGAGGATGACTCTGTTTTGGGATCAAGCAGAGAGATTCATTAGATATTTATTAGTGATATAAGAAAAACAGCACTGAAATGGGAAAAGACATCTAGAGATTTCCATTACACAGGCACAGCTCCTGGTGACTTGCTGAGGAGCTCTGCTATCCAGCAATGGAGTGGGGTACTTCGGGACATAAACATCTGAATTTCAGCTGATCCAGATTACTGGAATCCAAGTGAATCAGTGAAGCTGTGCTGATTTTCAGCAGGTGAAAAACTGATTCAAAAAGACCCCCACCAAAAAATTCTCACTTTCAATGTTTTAAAACTCCCTGGAGGTGAAAATTGAGGTAAATTGCCACTAAAGCTGTGTCTGCCTGATGAAGGAGATAGTACTAAGTAGCAAATATTAAAAAAAAATAATAATTTAAAAACAGGCTGCTGTGGGTGAGACCATTTTGCTGCCAGACTGTCTGCTGGCAGACCACATAGCAGTTCAGCAGCAAGGATACATTATTAGAAAATACATCTTCTATTCTTCTGGGGGAATATATTAAAAATATACAACCCACATGCTTTTAGCAGTATATTTTGTAAAGATACATTCAGGTAATGTAAGTTCTATACCAAAAAGACAGCACTCACAGTACAAGCTGTGCCCCTTAAAATCATTAAAACTTTTAAGTGCAAAACTGGTGAATCTTTCATCCTGAAATCTGCAAGTTGAAATGCACCGGGTCTGCAGCAGATTATTGTGAACAGTAGGTACAAGAAATAGATTACTATTTCCCCTTACTTTAAAAAATGTGTTTCATTAATATATCATCAATAATTATGATCCAAGGAAGCATTTTTCCTGTGGCTACAGCCTTGATTACTTACTGCCAAAAATATGGTTCTAAACATGAATTGGATATTTCAGTTTCAGTTTGAATCCACATATTTTAAACTTACTTACACAAACAAAATATTTTAAGGATATTTAAACTACATTTTCAAGACTACGGAGAAGGGGATTCTTCCCACCACCACCAGAAGCTCATGTTGGTGATGAGAGCTTGTCTGCTATTTCCAGCTGGATCGGGTGGTGTGATAACAGACAACCCCTTTCCCCGCCACGCTTTTCTTGACCTGTTTCTCCTGCGGACACCTCATGTTCATACTTGGCTGGCTGTGGTGGTTTGGGCAGCCCAAACAGTGACTTTTTAGTTTTTTGCTTGGTTCCTCTGGATGAAATCCTGACCTCACTGAAGCCAACTATAAAACTCCCACTGACTTCAGCAAGGCCTTGATTTCACTACTTGAGTTTAGCTGTCTCGCTGTCGTCGGAGCTATAATTGAGAGTTGCTTTACTTGGCAACTACTCGCTGGGGGTTAACATGCCTGCCTGCTCTTTTCTTTTGTTTTGTTTTTTCGCCCAGTCCGTCCCCTGTGCCTAGGACTTTGGATAATTTAGCCTAACGTTTTACATTGCAGAGCTGCTTTTGACCACCGATACCCCCAGCTCCTGAGCCAAGTGGATTTTAACACGTTTTGTTCTTTTCAGACAGTGCCTCATGACTGGAGCTAAGGTGCTTCGTGCTGATTTACTTTATAGGAGCAATATTTAAAAGCAAATAACTACTAAAAAGTTTTGCGACCTAACACCGTATATATTTTTGCATATTTAAGGCACATCATATAATCCGTGCTCCCAAAATAAATTACATGGGGAACACTGGGACGCTCATTTGCAACAGGCAAGAACTGAAGCCTTGTTTAGAGCCAAACATCTCTTGGGTCTCTCCTTTCTCCTGTCCAGGCAGAGAGCTTCCAGCAGGTATAAAGAGAGGAGGCTTATGACATAAGTGAAAGGAAAAACTCTTGTTTCTTTACTCTGGGGTTTACTGGAAGAAAATGTACTCATGAATTCCCATATCAGCCTGCCTCAAGTTTTCTCTCTAGGGCAGAGTTTGGGAAGGTGCTGTCTCGAATGCACCTCTAGCCTCTTCATTTTTCCACTCCCCCACCTCCATGGTGGTGCAGCCGTGCAGGCAGGAAGGGGGGCGGAGGGGAATGCCACTGACAGCTGCCTCCCAGGGGCTCCTGGCTCTGCTTCATCTGCAAAGCCCCTGAGGAGGCTGGAGAATTTCCTGAAGCTCCCTCCTCCTGCCTGCTCCGGTACCAGCATCTAGCAAAGGCTTCGCTTACCAACTTCTTTTCTTTCCAGACCCTGGCAGTCCCCTTACGTTTTCTCACTGTCCCTTCCCCCTTCCTTGCATACATTAGACTTGGGAGAAGCAGAAGGGAGCATCAAGGTTTGATGAGTGAAGGCCTTCTAGATGAGAGCAGGTGGGAAGAGTAAGTCCCAGGAGATGAAAGGCTCTTCATAGCATGGAGGTTTGCAAAAGGGCACGTCAGTGCCAAGTTGTCTTCACTCAAGTGGTATCCTCCTGCTGCTGCCTTTGATCGTCTCTTCCCGCTTTGTCCGAGATGGAGAGTTAAATCAGGCCGTTAAAGCTGGACTAGAAATGTAATGCTTGATTTAGTTAAACTTTCTCTAAGCAATATTTAATCAGCATTTCAGAAGTCCTTAAACAGACAGCAAATAGGGATTGCTGATACCAGAACATCCATAGCAGGAGTTTCTCCTTGGAAAGGAGGTGTCAGATTCGTCATTGTGATTGTTTAATTGTAATGTGAAACAAAAGAAGCAAGTAAGCATCAGGGAAAACCAAGCAAACAGGGTTAGTCTGGCATTAGCAGGTCTGGCAGAAGGAATGAAGGGTAATTAATGACAGCAGTTGAAAAATAATGATTTAAATGGCAGAAGAAAATATGCTGCTATTTGGATATAGGGAGATACTGATGTTTTGCAAACACAGTAACTTCTCAGCCCTCTCCTACCTTCAAACGTTGTTGAATATTGTTTTAAAAAAAAATATAACCAGGAAATGGACTTAGATTAACAGTCATTTTCAAAGGAATGTTACTAATTCACACTTAGTTAATTCAGTTCAAATAACGGTGGTTTCTGAACAATGAGGTACCACTGAATGCCACAGTGAAACCTAAGAGTATTGTATTACTTTTCCACTGCTTTGGCTATAATTATTTTTAAATGGTAGTTCATGTTGGGACAGCCTTTTAATTAAAAGTAAGAGACAGAAGCTGAATTGTGTGCTTTTCCTCAGTGTTTCACTTGCTGATATTTACTTGCTTGTTGCCTCACAAATTGGGGGAAGAATCACTGGAACTGGGAGGCAACAGTCATTCATTTAATTGGACTTTGGATTCTTTTATTACTAAATGTCGAAATCAGAGGGTAATGTGATGTGTAATGGATTTCCCTGTCAGTGCAGATTAATGACTCTCTGCTATGTTTTTCCCAGTTTGGGAGATTGCTTCAGGAATAGTTCCTGTATATTACGTGTTTATTTGTTATAAGACTGGATGCCTCCTATAGTGTTTAATTAGCTTTAAAAATCGTCATTACACTTGATGCTGCTAGTTTTCTTTATCCACTTCTAATTCCTTAGAAAGCTATTGCACTCGGAATGTAATGTAATTTTCATGTAGGAATATTATACAATGCAAATCTCAGTTATGTCATTAATGGGTGGATGGCAGGAGAGCTTGGCTATGCTATGCTTCAGTAAAATCATATAAAGTTGCTAATCTACCTCTGTGAAATGCCATGAATATATGGAAAAGTTAGCTTCTGGCAGGAAAGGAAAAAAGGAATAATGCAACTTCCTGTTCATGTATAAATTTCTTTTGCAGTTATTGGAAACACAGTTTTGAATTTAACCTCTCCCTGGTGAACTTCATTTTAGTGTGTGCTTTTAGACTACCCTAACCCTGTTCATTTGTGCATGCTCTCGATCTTCGTTCTCTCATGCATGCAATAGTAGGTATATGTTAAAAATGCTGTTAATTAAGTGATTTTATTTTCCATCCCTGTTTGAATACGAACAAATAGATTTGCTGTCACTAACTGATTTAGGTGCATTGTGGGCAGGCATCAAGACAGAAGGTGGATTGGCACAGTCACAGTCACCTGGACAGACAGGATTTCTAAGCTACGGTGCCAGCTTTAGCACACCTCAACCTGGACAGGCTCCCTATAGCTACCAGATGCAAGGTCTGTATAAACAGATATTACCATTAATTAGATATAGTTAATGCTATGGCATTTTTTTCCCCCCTTATTTCTTTACATTCTTAGAATAAAAATGAATGTTTGCTCGAGTTCTTACCTCTGATGCTATCGCAGTTGGAGCTGAAATGATGATTGCCTTTGGTGAGAGCAGCGACAAGCCAGCTCTCAGCAGTTTGGAAGACCCCTCGCTTAGTGACTTCATTAATTTTTAAATAGTGAAGTGCTGTAGTGTTATTACAGTAAAAATGTATCTCCAAATAGCAATCGTTTAATAAATAGTGAATGTGACAAAGCGAGTCCTGGAAAACGTGTCAGGATTATGAATTTAGGAAGTGCCAAATATAATTTGACACCTGAGTGTGTGCAGGGAGGGAGAAGATAAAAATACCTACTGCAGCTGTGGAGGTAGCTAAGTAATGATTGAAGTCTGTTTCTTTGAAGTCTATTTAAAAGCTGTAAGTCTTTGTATGTGCAGGCTATTATTATCAATTATATTTTGTAGCCTTACTTGCCTGTTTAGTTTACTTAATATCTTTCCACCTTGTTCTCTGTATTCCCTTTTCCCCTTCTCTATCGGGAAGTCGCTGGGTGTGCCTGCTCCTGGATTTTCACCACTTTAAGGGATATTTTAAAAAAAATCTTTGTTTACTAGAAATAGCTGATTGTGGATGTCTGCTGCAGGACTTTTCACCCCTGAATTTGACAGTTGAAATCATGTGTGTTGCAGACTTTAGAATTGTTGAAATCAGTATCACTCACAGAATTGGACCGCATTTTTTAAAAGTTTAGCACCTCTCTTTATTATTACCATGCTCCATTTAAATTCTGTGCCATCATGTAAACGCTCCATGAAATGTCTTGAGGCAGAAGTGCTTTCAGAGACCAAGTGAATGAGGTTTTGCTTTTGTTCCATGGCTTTAGGGGTATATTGATCCAGTCCTTTGCTCAGACACAAGAGAGATGTTTTTTGTTGGTTGTTTTTTAATCCTCTTTTGAACTGTGTGTTGAGTAGCTCCATAGGGCAGAAGCCACCACCTGACATCTGAAGTATTGCTTACTTGTAGTGTGCTCTGACAAGTAAAAGGAAGATAGTATAAGAGTAGTATGCAAACTTTCATCTACATGCTGAATAGTGTTGATCTTTTGCTCATCACAGTAAATATAACCATAACCAGGTTATTGGTTTTGCTTTCTGCAGATAAGACGCTAAAAAAAACGAACAGACATACCCCCCTCTGAAAAAAATCCTGCCTCTCTGTAGGAGAGAGCTCAAAGTGCTTGCCAGCAGCAGCTACGAGGAACTCCTTGACCGACATTCCAGCTTTTAAGGAACTGATAATTCATGGTCGCTAGGAAATAGAGTTATTGAAAAATCATGTCTGTGTTGCCTGTAATTTCTGTTGCAGTAGCGCCTTTGTGCCAGTCATGTATCGGGATCCTGTTGTGCTAACTTATACAGCCAAATGAAAATATAGTCCCTGTACAAGTTGGAGGGTAAAATAAAACACCCAGGCTTATTAGGGCCTAATGTAACAATAAAGCTGACACAGTTTAGGCATAATAAACAGTCGTCACCCCATATTGGTTATCTAACAACAGCTCTAAAGGTGTTTTTTTTTGTAAGATACAGAGCAGAGGGATGTCAATAAAAAAGGATTTTAGGGAGGACAATGAAGTAGTTTTGCAGATGTCTATGGGAAACTCATTCGATGGAAGGAGGAAAGGGGGAGCAACATGGGATAATGTGAGTGAATGCTTGTTGGAAAATTTTAAGAGTAAGTAGTGAATTCTGGCATTAGTAGAGCAAAGCTAGGACTCAGTCAAAGGACTACATAGAGGTCTGTCATAAAGGGTATTGCTTTGTTTTCTGCGATATGCAAACTGTATATAAGATGAGAATTGTCAAGGTCATGAAAGGGTGGCGGTTGTCAACAGTAAGATGTTGGAAAGCACTTCAGCTGTACATGTTGAAATGCAAGGATCTAAAAATATTCTGCAAAAGAAATGTGTTAAAGATGACCCAGTTGTGAAGCTCTAATGAGCGGAGGGTCAGAGGCGTTGATTTCATGACAGTATTGTCTGCGGGGCTGAGGGAGGAGGGGGTCTGAGCCTGGGTTCTGCTCCAGCTTTGCCGTGCTTGGGCTAAGAGCTGCCTGCCCGTGGAAGGCAGCAGATCGCCAACAGTCTGACTTGGGTGGAAGAGCCACAGGTCAGAGTGGGAGAGTCTGGGGGTCCCCGTGGTGCGTATGTCATTTCTCTTGTGCTCATGAACAGCACAGCATGTGGATGAGGGAAGGACTGGTCTCCTACAGAAACCTTACAGACCGTAAGAGTGGAAATAAGGAGAACATTTCAAATGAAAATATTGGTGGAGTTGTTAGAAGCTAAGTAGAAAAGAATCACATTGCTGAACAGGTCTTTCTTGCAGTTAAATGTTGACTATATATTTATACTATGCATGAAAATATGTCTTTTTAATGTTTTCATTAGGCTAACTTTTGAATTTGAAACAACTTTAAATTGACTTAATTCTTCCTTTTGATTGAACAGATGTTAAAAGTAAACGGAACATTTGTTTCCCTTTCCTCATTTAATTTTGGAAGGAGAACCTATTCATAGTTTCAACTATTATTTACGGACAAAATTGATTCTCTTGACAGAAGACGGGGTAGTGCTGCTGCTGTTCAGTTGTTTGTGCAGAAACCTCCAGAGAGGGAAATGAGTTTATTCTCCCTTTCCCCTCTAGCAGTATATGGGCAGGCTGCAGCCTCAGCCTTGCCATAGCCTGCAATAGCCATTCTTCATCTTCTGTGTGCGGCTGCTGAGCTGCTGAATAGAGATAATGGATCTCACAACCTACTTCACAACCAAGCGTTAACATGACAGCGTGCTCGGGGCCCTGCTGGCTTTCTCGCCCGCAGTAAAGGGGATTTCCTAGTGGCCTTGCAGTTGCCGTGCTCGTGCTCCCTGATTGGGGTTACCTCGTGCTCGAAAGCTTTGGAGTTATTCTGGTTCCTCTCCGTGGGGTGAATGTCTCCCTGCAATGTAAAGGCGCTGCCTCGCGGTGTGTGTGCAGCCACTTAAACCCAGTGCTTTTCCTGACCCTGCTAAAATTACAGCGTGATTAGTCACCGAACAATAGCAGAGCGACAGACTGCCAACTTTTGAAAATGATAAGGAAAATCGCTGCCTGTGACTCCTTGCTAAGATTATTCTGGTAATTGGATTTTTGTTTGTCACAAATTTATCATCCCTATAACGGGGGGTGCGAAGTGGAGAGTGTGGGAAGAGGACCTAGATGGTTCTGCCACGTCTCCCCACTCTCTCCCCGCCCTTACTTTAATGAGTATGTTCCTTAAGCTGTTTTTCATATAAGTTGCTTTATAGATGTTGAAAGACCACTTACATGACTAATGGCTGTGGGAACAGGCCGTCGTTCCTATATTGGCAGAGTTATAAGGATTGCTCAGTGAGGATAAATGGAGTGGAGAAGGGCTAGGGGAAACGCCAAGGAAAGAGCTCCATTTGCAACCGTCTTCTTGAATATCCTTTGATTGTGATAAAAGAACGGCTTTTACCCTGCACACGGGTATCCTACCGCTGGAAGGGTACTAGACCTGTGGTGAGCCCCAGCATTGTTTTAGTTACCAAGACTGTGATGTTTGAGAATATACTAACCGATTGGTTTGGGAATTCATCCATAAAAAAGTAAACGTTAAGGTATTCGGTTATTCTTATACAGTATAAAAATATTGTGCTGGATGGCTAAGCAGTTACTAGGACAACAAGGGGGAGTTTGCCAAGGATTTTTAAACACTGTAAGCAAACGGAAGAAACCTTGAGTTTAAATAGCCCATCTGGCCGTCTTAGGCTTTCCCAGGAGAGCTGCACTAAACTTCTGCCACATACATTGTACCCTGATGATAGACATAGCCCATGGCAAGGAGACTGAGCTAGGAAAGCAAATGGACTTCTGTGGCAAATACCCAGGGGAGGACCGCATCCTGCACCTCGCGGCAGCACGGGGGCGAGCCCCGCGCCTGGAGCCCGCGCCCTGGTCCCAGCAGGGTCCAGCCGTCTTCCGACGCTGACTGGGATTCCCAGCTTTAATGTGGGTCCACGCTCTTTGCAAAATAGACCTTTGACCTGCAATTCACAGCTTTTATCACATTTTAAAGCTATGAAGCGGGCGAACTTGGGGCAGTAAATCTTGTGCATTTTGTAAAGATTCTTATTTTTGTGTTTGCTCAGCTAAGGCAGGAACAGCAGCTCTATGCCGTGCTGCGGCCGATTATTTAAAAAACAAATGGCAAAATTGGAGTATTTTAAAAAGCAACTTTAGGCCAGTAGTTCTGGGTGGCCCACAAAGCCGTTTTTGAGAAACCTGCTTCATGTTTGTTACGGTCTAGGAGACCCCTACCCCTCCTCCATAGGAGCCAGCGCTGACCATGAGATGAAAGAGAGAGATCTGCATGTTAGTATGTGTGTGTCTTTGTCTGAGAGGGAGAGATGCTGGCTGGCATGTAATTACTTTTCTCATTTGCTCTTGCAAATTATTTGCCAAAGTTTCTGTGGAAAGATAACGTATTCATCAAAAAAAGTTTTGGTTTTATTTTTTTTTCTTCTTATAACTATGAGAGACCTTTTATATCTTTTCAGAATGGTTCAAACCATGCACCTATAAAACTTGTGTTTAAATGCATTACTGCGTCACTCAGAAATAACTACAGAAATAAAAAGAGACACAGTGACTTACATTCTTCCAGCCAAAGCACTCTTAGAAATAAAATAGCATTTCAAAGTTTTGCAATTTAAAATATTTTTCAGCTGTATTTTGGCTCTGGGGTTTGTTATAATAAAAAATAACATCTGTTTTCCAATTTTAAATTAAATTTAAAACAACATGTTTTTCTCATTAGTACTGTTTATCTGTACTATCTGCTAAACTTGGATGTCAACTCTTCTGCTGAAGTAATCTGATTTTAGTTCACAGGATTAGTAGCATTTATCAACAACCACAGAGCTTTTGCACTAATAGCAAATATAAGAGAAGTGTTTACAGGCATTATCACACGTTAAGTTTAAGCTTCATCTTTTACTCCGCTGCTGTTGGACATACTTCACATCTTTGAGGCTTAACTTTTATAGCTTAACTTTTAGTAACTTTTGCAATCACAGCCCTTAAATATTTTTCCTTCTGACTTTTTATAGCTAGGATACCTATTTTTTTGTTGTTGTTGTTTAGAAAAGTAAATAGCTCACAAACGCCCTTTAGGGGTTGTACTAAGCATGCAGCCCTGCCTACATTCCTCGCTGTTTGGAGTTGCAAGAAATGTCGCTTCTCCCAATGAGTAACCACTGCATAGGATTTGGTTGTTAATTGCGTTGTCGGGTACATCAGAGGACTGGTGCATCCGTATGCCTGGCTCCCTGTTGATTTCCATCTCTCCTTGCCTCCTTTGCTCACCTGCAAGCTTTTTGCTCCCAAGGTCTTGGTATATCTTTGCACTAAAGCAGGTTTCGGTGGCAAGGGAGGCTGTAAACAACCGGGCACGCTTTGATGCAAGCTCCTTGCTGGCTGGTGCTCTCCCACTGGACGAGTTCAATAGGTTGCCTCATTACAGACTTTCTGTTGGCTTACGTAGCTTCACCCTGTGGATCCATATGTCTCAGCTGGTGGCTGTGTCACTCCCGGGTTATAACCAGTGAGGGCAAACTAGCTGAAAGGGGGTTGCTGCCCTTTTAGTGGAACAGCTTCTCAGGTTAGGTATTAAACAAGAGCCCCATCTGTCTATTTTTGGTGGCTCGTGAGGGGAGGAGGGAGGTGAAGGCAGTAATTCAGTCTCTGGGCTAAATTCAATCTTGGGTCTCCCTTCTCAGAGAGGTACTTTTTTTCCCTTGTGTCATGCCCGGTAGACTCTATTAAAAAAGAAAAAGGTTTGCAGCCCAAGGCTGTCTATGATCGATTAGCGAATCCTGATGGCTTCGCAGTCGGGCTGAGCTGTTTGGAGCAGGGAGTTACGGCTTTTGCTGTTCCTTCAGGCGCTGAGGCTCAGGGAGGGGAGCGGACCCGGTTCTCGAAGGCGGTAGGAGAAACGGAGCCAGTGGGCTTCAGTGAGGGGAGACGGCATCTCTCGAGACAAGGCTCACAGTTATTGTTCAACAAAAACTGAAAGTGAAGAAGCCCTCATTACTTACACAACGCTGGGGATAATTCAGAGGGGTGGAATAGCCTAATATTCAGTCAGACCCGAGGTGGTTCCAAATTCCTGTCTAAATTTCAAGTTTTTCTTTTTATTGCAATAATGAAACACAGGGTGTAGGAATGATAAATTATCACTTTCCCTATATTAACATGTTATAGACCTGATGACAACCAAATCAGTCAACATATGGGAAATATTACAAATATGCCATATCCTTATGATGTAGTCGCATGATGGAAGTTATTTTCCAATACTATGTTTTAGTAATTCACATAATTTTTCATTTCATTTCAGGCAGCAGTTTTACAACATCATCAGGAATATATGCAGGAAATAATTCACTCACAAATTCTACTGGATTTAATAGTTCACAGCAGGTAAATTTGTAAATATGAGTCAAGGAAACTTTGGCAAACTTAGAATTATCATCCACTGAAAAAATGTAACCCTTAAATAGCTTTTTGAATGAAATTAGCATAATTTCAAGTTAAACTAATGTTTATAAATGTTTTTCTTCAATTCATCATCTTCTATAATAGAACTAATTGTCTGCATTTGGTGTTCTTATTCACACATCTTCAGTAGTGTGCCTAATAAACTATTTGTATGGGAAGACATACTAAATGATGTGTAATTTAGATTTCGGTTTACTGCCTCACAGCTTTAAGTCCTACAGCATCCAGTCCAGGAAGCATACGTGCTGAAAGTCTGACATGTGTTTGTAGTTATATTTTGGAATCTATACTAAAAAGTAGCAAAACTTTGATGGACTATTCAGTTGCTTTTTTGTCTTGCAGGAATATCCCTCTTATCCCAGTTTTGGCCAGGGCCAATATGCACAGTATTATAATAGCTCACCGTATCCTTCACATTACATGACAAACAGCAACACCAGCCCAACGACACCCTCCACAAATGCAACATACCAGCTTCAAGAACCACCATCTGGCATCACCAGTCAAGCGGTTACAGATCCTGCAGCAGGTAATTACATGGATTTTATGGTCCCTATGAAGCACGTTTTTGTGAGTTGAAAGGGGGTTGAATTGGATTTTTTTGTGTGTGTGTGTGTGTAGTCATTGATTTTTTTTTTTTATTATTTCTTAATCCTGAGCCTGTGGCACATCTTGCACAGATTCTAACAGAAAATAGACTAAAGAAAAACTGGGATCAGTAAAAGTTTAAAGCTTGTATGAAATACAAGTTGTTTGTATTTATTTGTAAAATGCTTGTGTTAAAAATTGCAGGATATGAGAAGGTCTTTACGCTAAAACAGAACCCGGTGCTTTTAAGCTCTGTCTTCATTAAGATAAACTCCTTTGATTTTTTCCTAAGTAAGACTGATATCGAGAGGCCTTCAAACCATAGCCCAACTGTCCACTTGAAAAAGAGCTTTTGTGTTTTTCACTTTCGGAGGACATAATAATGCTTGTAATGGGGAGTTGAAATTGCACAAATGTTTCCATTTTAAGAAAAGATTTTCAGTGGCTTGTCCTTCTTCCCAGTCATTTTACCTTTCTTGCTGGAATTTGGCAGTCTTTTACTAGTTGAGATATTTTTTGAACAGTTATGCCAAACTGCTCCAGCTGTTTTTGGAAATGAGAGGTGAAAAATACTTTTCCCATTATTAAAAGAAAAAAAATTACATTTTTTAACAGTTCAAGCACGTCAGTAGTTAGTAGATGGCAGAAGTTTGCAATCTGTCAGAGAGAAAGTCCAAGGTTACAGATGTGTTTCTCAGTAATACGGTAAGAAGGAGCTATGATTTGGCAACGTTATCAGGAGGTTTTGTTTTGGAGTTTTGTTGGGGGATGTTGTTTTTAGTTTTCTCAAAGTACTTGATAGGACTGATCTTGCATGTGCAATGTGAGCTTTAATATAATTAGCTAGGACTCTCTTGCCTTTCTGCGTGATTGTGTACCTGAAGAAAATGTATGTAGTGTTGTCTCTTTTGATACATTTGCTGAAAGTAAGTAGGGAAGAAAATACAGCCGGAGTGTGTGTTTATATACACGAGATCACATGTGTGTGCAATGAATTTGAGAAAGGAACCTTTCTAAACAAATGCATATTGGAGGCTGCAGCTTTTAGAATATATGGGTGCATGTTGGAGTCTGCATAATTACTCTGCTTTTCACTTTGTTTTTAATGCTTTTGTTTTGTTTTCTTGTGGATTTTTTGCTTTTCTTTTTAAGTTGGAAGCAGTAAGTTCCTCTTATCCCCCCCAAAAAATGTGATCAAGTTTTAGCTTTTTATCATGATACTAAAATTGAATCGTTTTATCATCTGGGTTTTGATCTTTCACAAAATCTTTGCATGTATTTTTTTAAAGTAGTTGATACTTCCTAAAAGCAACAGTAAACGCATATATGGAGAGAGGAGGTGTATTTTTCTTAGTGGCTTAAAGGTTGTCTTCTTATTTAAATAGTTTTCTGTGCTGTATAAGCCTGCACAGAACTTTTCTATCAGTTCCTTTTTAAGGAGTTTTTCTTTTCTCCCTCAAATCTTCCACATTCTTGTTAAGAAAGTTTTGTCTAAAAGCTTGAAAGAAGTTGGTATGCTTTCTCATGGATGGGTCCTGCACCTAAGCCCTCTTCTAGTTTACGTTTTCATGTATTGAAACCTGTACATCCGTGGCTGCCCTACCACTGCTCCCTTAGACACGGTCCTTGGTCATGTGCACACCTCCTCTGGCACTGCTGGGACTGCTGTCTCTTT